GCTCACCTTTTTTGTCTTTTGTTTTCGTGTCCACACAATCCTTGCTCTGTCCTCGAAATACTTGTCTCGCGGTCTGGCTGGTTATACTGACGGACAGAGGAGTTTGATGACTGCGGTTGGTCATTATCTCCGTCGTTCATCTCCTTTTTATGACTTCTACGATCCAACACTTACCGCTACATCCATCACCATTGAGATATCTTTCTCAGAAGAAATGGATCTACAGACATACAAATGACCGTTGCCGGTAAACGAAACATTAGGACGGAGCGGCACAAAATGCCGCTGCAGTTGATGGCTATCAGTCGCTAGTTTGATCCGGGTCACTAGGACCATTTCCGTCTGATCTTAAATAAATAGAAATAGGACCGTTTTACCTCGCCAATATCTGGAGCGATTTGGTTAATTGAGTTTGAGGTTCCAATGGAATTTTCTTAAAGAGAGGTGACATTTCCTACCAAGCATCCAGCGGTAGATTTAGAAGAATAAAGATGAATACCCTCATCAAAATGGGACCATACATGCCAGTGCTTTTTAACAATTTTCAGCTATATATTTCGGTGCGGGGGATCAGTAACCAGTGGGAAACAGTCCTTGACATTCTCTAACGACCAAGACTTCCCCACCCAACTCCCATCCTGAACTTAACCAATTTCGAGCAGTTAAAACCTTAAAAAAATGAAAAATAGACAAGTGAAAAATTAAAATTTGTTAATATGGTGAATTTGAAATTGCGGGTATGGAGATCACCCGGCCGTTGCGGTCTATAGTATAGGTTTGATACTCATCATCCGTACTATTCAATACACTTGTGTAGGAAGGGGTGCGTTCCTGAAGAATTGTTCGATTGCGACCACATCCCTGTACATTTACTGATGGTTGTTTTCAAGCTCAGTAACAAAGTGCATTTTCGACTTTTTCAATCCTTGCTTATGCTCGCCTCCTTGCAAAGAATCCACTCTCCTGTAAAAGGATATCACTGTGTTCTCTCAACGTTCTTCTGATTTTTGCTGCTGTTGTGAAGTTTTAAAAACCTGTCTTCAAAGTCTTCTAAGGTTTGCGAGTTGTTGGCAAAACTTTGGTCTCGGACGAGACTCGCGTTGGTGTCTCTCGGCCTCAAACCGCAGTTGTGCTTTCCGGGCCTGCTGTGTTCGGAATCTCTTTGCTGTCCTCTGTTGCGGATCTAATGTTCTTTTTAACACTTGAAATTTCAGTTTTTCCAAGTGGCCAACCCGCTTTTCGACGATTTCTACATGTTCAACCAGCCGTCCGGCTCGCCGTTCGATGATCCATTCTTTAGAGGTTCGTATTTAGATGTTTTTACTTCCTTTAGCGATTTTTCAATATATTTCTGCAGTAGCCCTTATAGTACTTTTCTAACTTGAAAATCGCATCATTATTTACCCTCACTGGTCTCCTCACCATCAAATAGAATCTGTCACGTTTAGCTACCCATATAGAGACTCCTTTCGTTAGCCTTGGTGTGAGCCATATTATTTGTCCGATTGATTTCCACGGTTTTGAATAACCGCATACAAAAAAAGGATGAAGCTTCGGGGAGCTGATCTATCTCGTCTGAAGGATGCATCCCTTATTTGACCTCTGTTCAGAATCATGGTGGCGTAATGAATGCGTACTTGGCCTATACAATGACTTGCGGTGGCCATCCGATGGAAAAGTCAGTGCTTTTATTCTCCCAGACGAGTCTGGTGCTAACTAACCCGCTCCGAAGGAATGGAGGGCCTAGTTGGCGTTGGCAGATGTCGACCCGGGATTTGAATCCGTGAGACCATGTGTGTGTGCTAGCGCGCCATTTGCCACTACACCACCTCCACTCCAAACTGTTTGATAGGGCACATATCGCATTCAAGAAATCGCAAAAAAACCAAGCCGAACCAAAACCAAACCATCCTATAAGTAAGCAAGGGCTCAGGAGTGTGGGAACGGAGTCATCGATGTCGGCATTTGAGAGAGGTTCTGGATCTGAAGTGAAGGCCTACAGGGATTTTTCTTGATTCCCCGTGAGCCTTCGTCTGATTTTTCTTTCTGAAGATCTGGTTGACCACTAAAAACCAGTGTTTGAAACGAAATCGCCAGTTTTACAAGGTTGACGGTCGTGGGCTGAACTTCGGTCTCAGATGGGACTCGAGCCCGTACTTATGCTTTCCGGGCATCATACTGTTCCCTTATACTAACCAGTGATTGCTAGTTTCTTTAAGGTTACATCTTCGACGGTGTACAATTCTCCCCAGAAGTCGACTACCTGACACCCCCCCCCCCCCCCCCCCNTTTTTTTTTTGCCAACAAAGAAGAGAATGGAGGTCTGTAGACTCTATTTCTGACATTCCTGAGCTGTACTTATCCATTTGGAAAGTGGGGGCTTCCCATATGGTATTCCCTGCGTAATCGGGAGGGGAATCAACAGCTTTCGTGGCGCTCTCCCGACACCCCTTTATGATTTGTACACCTGCGCTCCAAAGCCTTCCACTGTTTACGAAAACGGCTGTGACTATAGCGATCCCCTCAAAAAAAGTACTTTATTCGTACTTTGCAAAAACATTTTATGAAATCCCCTCTATCGAAAAAACTGATGGTTACAGGGGAAGAATTGGTGGGGCCGTTTGGCTGCAATCGCTCTTTCTGAATGCGTCATTAAGATTCAGAATAGGGAAAAAATTTAAATTCAATTCGTCCCACAGATAGACATGATTGAAGCTATAACTGTCTAAATGGATTTTGATTATATTTTATAGCAAACTTGGTTACTGTAACTTGAGTGTGAGAGGGTTTGGTTGGTTGGTTCACAATGGATTTGTACGTTCTGTCGGTGGATGTAATAGCGATGACTCCAAACCACTGCCCCACTCACGTATTGGAAGTATTGACCTGAAACACTACTTTTAGGGAGTGGAAAAGCTTATGTGAATTCCATGAAGTTTAACTTTTCTCGCCATCATTAGAGAAACAGATAGGAAGCTCCCGCAACCTTTCATTTCGCTACTGTCTAGTTGGCCGCTAAATTATCATCAACGAAAGAGAAGGTTGCTTTGTTTGGGTGTACCCGTGCCGTTATCAGTTGATCAGTTGTATGAGACCCCCACATGACTTTCAAGGGTAACAACAGCTGTCTAAGAAGTCGTTCTCTAACCTATGTGAGTGTCTGAAACTTGGATGATTTTTACTCCCACAAAGATCGCCTCTAAGTAGGGACTATACCCGATTTAGCTTGATATTTTTGATCAGTTTAGAGTTTACCGAATGAAAAGCAAAGAAAAGCAGATGTCGAAGATGCTCATTTTTCCTCCTGTATATTCAAAAGACGAACAATTAAGTTCTCTAAAAAACAAAGAGGACAGTTTTGTAGAGGAGAAACAGCTTTATGCGAATGAATGCATACACTTTGCTGAAAAACAAAACAAGTCGTCGTAAAATAACTCTAACGCAAAACTCTACGAACTTATGTTACAACCCAATACAATCCTATCCTCCACGGTTCTTCACGATACCATCCTCCACCAATGTAACCAGTTCGGAAAACTCTTGAGCTATCCAGAAATCGATTTACTTTTCCGTAGTTTCCCAGGCGCTATGGGGGCAGCTCCCTAAGGCGACGCGTCTTACGACTCGCGCACCTATGAAGGTCGTGATTTGAACTTAATAAATCTTATTCGATCAACTCAGCTTTACCTCTACAAAAGTCGGTCAGGAGTGTAAAGGTTGCCCTTCAGACGTGCTTATTCAGGAGCCCACTCAGCACTTTTTTTTAATCGCAGTTCCGTGAACAGATTCTATAGGGAAAGGAAGGGACAGACACGGGGTGATTTCTGACATGACAGCGTAACTAGAACAATTGTTCCTCACTTACTCTGGCAAGATTCCAACTTGAATCGCGAACTGTAATAAATAAGCCATTTCAGTATTTCAGGGACAGATTCCAATCCAAATTTACTGAAATTGAAGCTAAAAAAGTCACATATTCGAAATCCCTAGCAATACTCTTGCGAATTCTGAAAAGTATTCACTTGCGCTGGGAATTTGGGAATTGATATGAATGTAATATTCGTAGCGAAGGGAAAGGCTTCTTTCTCGTAGAATAATTTCAAATTGTACGGATAGTATGCAGCGAAGTAATGAATATCTATACCTCTTGATGTTTATTTTTACTCTTGGGTTACGCCTCGTAGTCGGAATCAAGAAATAATGGTGAATTCATCTGAGGTTTCAAGGGAGTTCGCAATCGCAAATCACTGCTGATGAACGCTCCTAAGGGGTGTGTTGGGCAACATTGCTCGGTGGCACAACCCTTCCTAATGCTTGGCTTAATCTCCCTCGCCTTTTCAAAGGTCCTGCTCTCACATGTGAGGCATTTTCTGGCTCTTAAATATGTGAATCAATATTTCTCCACAACAAATATCCAAAGACATCTTCCAAGCATATTTTGCATGAATAATCTTTCACGCTAAGGCAATGATAAAGTAGTTCCAGATGGTGCCGCTACCACACGTGTGGTCTAGATGAAACGCATGAGTCGAGCAAATAGCAAAACAGACAAAAAGGGGTGCAAGCTGCTGAGTGACTCAACCAAATCTCCCTTTTAGTTATGGGGTTCTGGTATGGCTTTCTGGGTACAGAGTAAACATCCGAGACGGGTTGTGAGACTTCATAGTCTACCAAACTTCCGTTTGCTTGTTTGATAGTTTTTTTTGCGTCATGGACAAAGTGGAGTTATAAGAATCTAAAGTCACACTCACTGGTCCCGCCCATCTCACCAATTCCTCCCCTCGCACTGAAATAATGCTGAGACAGTCCCGTGAATACTCCCTTCCCATCGCATCTTTTTGAACCTTTACAGACAAAATTGTATCTTACACATTCTTCTATAAGATATCTGCTAGAGAAAGTGAAGGACGAATTTCTAGAAAGGCTCCAGATGACTCTTCTGATCATTCCGCGCAAACATTTTCCCTTAGGTCCCCGAATTTAATGTCGCTTTTTCAGATCGACCACGTCTTCTTCGACGGGATGTATTCGATAGGATTGCTGTACCGGTGAGAAGAATGAATAGTTGTGAAGATGCTTTACGAGGAGTGGTACGGAATATTCCTATACATGTCGAGGTGAGTCATTGCCTAGTCCAACTCTTTTTCTCCGGAAACATGTCCGAAAATAGCATTCTCAAGCTATAGAGCACCGGCTTTGTGTGGATTTCCCTGTGTTTTTATCAGGCCCATCATTTGAGGCACATCATCGAAGTCCCGTAAAGATCTTTGACCCTTACGACCATCAAAGTATAAGATTAGTAACAAAAGTTAGAGTAGAACCTACTTGGGAAACTGTCGATACCAATCTTGAATTCTTGGGCTCGCTTCAACTGGGGTCTTGGTAAATCTATCAGGGTTCAACACTTGAAGCTGTGGGCGAAACACTCCTACACAATCTTTTTTTAGAAAGTAATACTTTTTGAGTAGTATTCGTCCTTTTCTCCACTCCCTTCCCAGTCTTCGTGGGAAAGTAGGAAACCCTGAAGGGAAGAGACAGGCGAAAGGATGGAAAGGTGGAAAGAGGTTCAACTATAAAGGGAAGCGGTTGTAATGATAGCGGTTTCCAACGTCATCAGGCTCGACTTCGTATATGAAGTGTGAAGCTTGTGCGGTTCGCCATTCCAGACGGGCGCATTCAATTAACATGCTTTTATCGATTTATTGATCGGGAAGCTTGTAAAATTCGTAGGGTCCAAAGAGGTAGGAGCTCAGACAAAGTCTCTGGGAGCTTTTAAGGATTTGAGGATTCGTTAAGCATCAAAGATATGGTCTTCAAACACAAGTCAATAATTCACATGGAATCTCAAGGGTCCCAAAGTCTAGTTGAGTTCTGATCAAACGAACCTTGGTCGATACACTCTCAAGTGAACAAATAATACAATCATTTGTTGACCGTTAGTTGTTGAAGAACACGAAGTTGTTTTCAGGGAGCTGAGAAGAAAAACATGGACAGTTTTGTCGGTGAGCCAGCCGGCTATGGAACACTCAATGGTGGCCCGTTTCGGCGGAGACTAAGTGATTCCGGCGGAAGTGAACTGGGTATCCCTTCTCCCAGAGGGTTTAGAAGAGCAATGAGGTAAGATTTTATGAAATTGACGGCGGTTGGAGCGATGTGGTGGTTTTTCATCGGCAAACCATGGCTCGTTAGGAAACATTGGAATACGCTACATGGCGAATGCGGGATGTCCCTATCCAAATTGCTCATTGGATCCCCCATTCACTTGTGATCTCACCTCCGGACCCAACAATGTTCCCTACAGAGTTTCCTTTTCAACCTGAGAGCTGAAATTCCTCTGAGAACCTGCTTGGCTGCGGTGGCCAAATACGCCACTGGAACCATTTATTATGAGGCTAACCTCAGGTTACACATAATACCCAGCTGTGCGAAATGGTATCATCACTTCATTTATGGGGTGTTGATAAGAATCGGCATACCTCGATGAATATCCGGCTTTCGTACCCTAAGGCTCGAAATTTATTTTGCGATGCTCCACCGCGCAGAAACCCAACCCTTTTAATCTAGCCTTCCCAGAATTTCCCATTGAACTGTATAGTTTGCCAGCGGATTTCTTTCCAAAGAACGTTTCAGTCAAAAGGGATTAACTGGAAAAGATTACCATCATGGAGTCGTTCGAGAATATTAAATATTGATCGTGCGCTCCCACAAGTTGAGGTTACTATGCTTGAAAAAAATCGGATGCTTGGCGCAATCTGAGTGAATTAACGAAAGCTCATAGCTTTTTTCCGGTTCGTGGCTATGAGGCTTTCGCATTGCTAAAGACGATACTCAAGCTCATTCGTTTCGTAGACTTATCGGGCTATTCCTTTCATATTTTCTGTATGCCCTCCAAATGTTGTTCAAAACCTTCAACACAGAATGTCTACGTAGTTCCTGATATCTGATATATTCGAAATCCTAATAGTTCGTTAAATTAGAACTGAGGCGCATCCCAAAAACGAGATTGACTACTGCCAAGGACTTTTATCTTTTGAGTTTCTATTTATCCCGAAAACAGCCAGTTACAAACCAGCAATGATTTCCATAACTACCACTTAAATCCATGCTGTACTGCATAGAGATGCCTTGTCCTTTGTCCAGAAGAGTTCGGTTGTTGAAAACACGAACGGGGATTCCTGTCCATCTTTTCCTCTACCGATTCTTCCCTCTCTAGTCCAGAGGGTCCGGGTCTCGGGCATCTTGAAGGAGAAATACTCCGTAGAAGAGCTTCCCATATTTATTACGCGATGACTGTCTTGCGTTCCGTTCACGACAGTCGGTCGTTTCTTGCCCTAAGGGAACGCATTTACATCTTTACATGCCCCGTTCGTTCTCGAAATCACGTAGACCTAGAAATTTCAATTAGATATAGTATTTTCCAGCCCATTTTGAATGCCTATTTTGAGAGTTCACCTTCACTTCATTCAGTATTTGTTCGGGGAGCGAACAGGCATTGTTGACTAATTAGATAGATGCGGTCTCCACGATAACCTAAAAAGAGGTTAAGGTAGGGTCAGGATGATTCACCCTGTGAATTTTTTGCTTTTAGGATCGGGTTAGAACGGGTTTCAATATTGAGTCATTCACAAATTAGTCAGAGATAATAGTTTGGTCGTTCTGATAGAATTGCCCTTTTTATTGGCTTTAACATTCAAGTACCCCTGCTCATAAGTGTTATCACAACTGGGCTGAGTAATGGACAACATATACCACAACCCATTCTTTTTCTGATATAATTGACGTAGTGAAACCAAAAGGCAACACTTTAAAATTAGGATTACCGTATTTTGCTTTATATTTGAATGAAGAGAAAGACAAAATCAAAGATCAGGAAGTGAAGGGGGGAGGGGAGGGNAGCAAGGGGTGGGTGGTCTGGGATTAAGTGGCGCTCAACCACCCAAGCATGATCCGGGTATCGAATCCCCAATCAATACTCGCCCCAGACAGCCAAGCCTATCATCCCTCAGTTGTACGGGACCACTGACAAGGGAATAAAAGCATTGACTTTTACATTGACTGGTCGTCAAAACTTATTGTATGGGGGGCCACGTCTGATTAAAAGTGGATTTTTACCCCTCCTGTCACATCCTTATTTAGCCTTTGAAAGTCTGAAGACTTAGGTTTATTACCCAAGGCATTTGTAAAGCATCTGTTCGATCATCAGAAGTTTGTGGGGCGTTAAAAGAATCAGTGAGAACCTGCATCTGGTGGTGTAAAACATTAAGAGTCCTAGTAAAAACTCTTTCTCCCTTGTCTCACTTTCTCCTACATCACCCTCACCCAGACCCTTCGTCAGGGTAGCTGCTTTCTTCATAACAAGCCCATCACTACGACTAGCCGTTTGCCTGCTCATCGTTCTATCGTATGGCCTTGTCGCTGTAACTTCTCCTTGACACCACGATGGTTTCAGAAAAAGTAATAATCAATGCGAAACACAGCTAGACATTGAATCGGCCGCCGGCCTATCTGCGCCCATCTACAGCTGCTTAATTTCCGTCGATGTTACGGCGCGTAATTGCTATGTGCGGTCGGTCGGCCGGGCAGTGCTAGGGCTTTTGACTGGGAAGCAGCCATTTTTTTCCTGAGAAACCCGGCTCCATATGGTCGTACAAAAGCACTGAATCTTTCACTTTCGGAATGCTTTCAGTCACGAACAAAAACCCAGGGCTACGAGGTTGTCCGCCACGAAAAAAATCTTGCCCTCTGCATAATTGTGTTTGGGTGACTGGAATGAATCATGGGAATGTGGGAATGAGAAGGGAGGGGGGGGGGGGGGGGGGGG